GTAAAATTAGTTGTTTGTGTATATGTTCCAGACCATATGAGTATTTGGACCGTACGCGTACGGTCTGGACCGTATGCGTACTTTTTCAAATACGTATACGGTCGGACTGTACGAGTACGGTCTGCTTAATATTAAGAAGTTAGTCAAGTTTATTAGATACAAATGTTTATTACAGATCATCATAACTTAAATCTCAAATTAATATAAAAAGTTCAATTGTACTTGAAATAAAAACTTTATATTTTAACTATTTAAGAAAGTCATGCTTATTTAATCTGTTAATCTCCTGTATTTAGCATGTCAGTAATACATTAATTGAATTATGCTCACTGAAATTGAAGTTATCGGAAGTAAACAAAATGTGGGAAGACAATTTGTTTAGAATATTTAGGAACTTTACAAAAAACTTAAATGCAAAGGAACATGCATGAACAAAACATGTAAATGTAAAAAATCTGACGTTCCTTGTGACAGCAAGTGTCACTTTGGGCGAGAGTACCAAAATAGGATTCAGATATACAATGTAACAAATATATAATTTCAATTGTTTGCTTATTCGCTTTATTCATCTAATTGTAATCATGGTAATAATAACAATTTGTAAATATAAAAAAATGTTTAAATTTAATTCATATGATCCCAAAACATGTATGGTCAGCTTGTACTGGACCGTACGAGTATACATATACGGTCCGGACCGTACGCATACGGTCCAAATACTCATAGGGTCTGGAACATATATACATCTATTTTCTTGTTTATTTATAGGCAATTGTTTACACAAGTCTTGTTTGATTTGATTTGTCTCGTTCAAGCTTCAAACAAGCATTATATAAATTCTATTTTTTTCAATTCACTTTCATTCTTTGGGATGTCTGCTTATGAAATTCGAAACAAGATTTTTATATATGATTTGTTTTAGTAGATAAATATAAATAAGAAGATGAGGTATGAGTGCCAATGAGACATCTATCCATCCAAATTACAATGTGTAGAAAGTAAACAATTATATGTCAAAGTACTGTGGTAAAGTGGTATTTTAGTATATTTGTATTTTATATATAAGTTTCATTATTTCTATATTTTTAATCTAACTTTATTATTTCAGAAGATATTATTATAAATACTGTAGTATTATATTATTGCATGGTTAAACTATACGGAGTGTAGATTTCAGGTTCGCTCAGGTGTGACTTTTATCAGGTGTTTCAATTGGGTTTTATTGATATTGATAAGTTCTCAATTCTTTGGCGTGAAGTTTACATTTCTATATGGTCACTTTGTGTGATGGACACCATTTTCCATGAATAGTAAATTATTCCACTATATTCTGTTGTGGTTTTTGGTTTTATATTTCTAAGGTATTCACCATATTGATGATGCACCATGTTGGCATCAACCTGCTGATGTGATTTATTACTGTATTGTATTCAAGCCTTCAAAATACCTGTGAGGGTAATATTTTGGATTACGATATAAACTTCGAAATAAAGAATCCGTAACCCTTAGATTGTTTCTTGTGTGTTTATTGCCACGAAACAAGACTACAGTACGGCCTTCAACACGGAGCCTTGGCTCACACCGAATAGCAAGCTATAAAGGGCACCAAAAAGACTAATGTTAAACAATTCAAACAGGAAAACCAACGGTCTAATCTATATAAAAAACAAGAAACACTTATGAACCACACCAACAAACGACAAGTCTACATGAAATTATGGAGGATAAGACAACGACCATTGTAATCTATGCATTGTCAGTTTTAAGGACTACACCCCATGTAAAGAGGTGTTAGGCGTTGAAATCTCAAATTGAGAATAGAATAAATAAATAAACAAAAAGATTTAATTCAATGGAGGACGACATTGCGGTTCAATTTAAGGTTAGTTGCTGAGAACAAACAAAAAAAAACGCTTCACATCCGAGTTTTGTTTTGTGTCTATGGGATCTGCGATGAATACACCTTATCTCCTTTGAATGATAGTCTTTTAAAATTCTCGACATAAGGCCTTTAACAGACAAAATGAATGTAGTTTTCTCAAAGAAAATGTGTGCAGTTCTGTTTTACCTGGTTTGATTTTATGCATTTCATGCATTTTATGCATTAAATCATTATTATATACTCGCTCCGAAGGAGGGGTTTACTGTCTGTCCCTCCGTCCGTCCCATGAACTTTCCATCGCTTTTCTTATAAACTACAGATTATAGTTTCCTGCATTTTTTTAGAAGGCTTCATGTGACCATAATGACCTTTATGAAATGTTCGTCCATTTTACTAAGGAACTACAGATAATAGCTTCCAGAAATTTGTCATCACGATTCATGTCAGCATGCTTTACCGTGTGGTGCGATTTCGGTTTCATCGCTCATCAACTTTCTGTTTACCAAATGTACTTTACTTACATTATACCAACATATACATAAAATAGATACATATTTCGCAACATTCTTCTAGGCCTGGAAACTACAAATAACAGATTCTCGGAATTTGTTATCAGGCTTCATGTGTGATCATGCTTCACAGTGTTATGTTTTTTTAAGAATAATTTCTCTTCAACTTTCTGTTTAACGAATACTTAAAGCAGGGGTATCATTAGTAAGCAATAGCTCACAGTTCTACTTGTATATTGGTGGGCTTTTCGAATATTTTTGTCATTTTCATCTAATGAAGTTATTTTAGAAACTCTAGCTTTTTCCGAATGCGCGCACGTAATGCATCAATTTTAATATATGATTTTTATGCAACTGTTTATTTTTACTAAGTCCAAACAATTATGACGTCTTGAAAGGCAATTTTAATTTTTGCTCTGACACCTTCCCACTCTCCATCCATCAGGTCATGCTAAATCATTTTCATTTTCATCGGGAGTGAAGATCTGTTTCCCTCGGAAGTTTCATGTATAGTAACTTCACTTTTTGGTAAATAATGATGAAGTGCATTGAGTTCAGTTCCACCGTAATTGTCTATTTAACAGTAATCGCATACTTATAGTTTACAAGACGTATTGGTGCTGTTTAAGATGAGGTAAAAAAATAAATGGTAAAGGTAAGGGAAAAGTTCCTGAATTAGAGTCGACGGGAAATATGTTTGGATTTGAAAGATAAATTATTTGAATTTGGATTCATCAACATTCCATCAAGATTCAATTTCACATGCATTGTTAATTCAGTGAGCACTGATATTCGAAATTGAACACTCAGCTGCAACAACATACACATCAGAGGAAAGAGAACGTACCGTATTTGAACACATACAATCGTCCATGTAAACATTTGAATAAAGGGAACATAACAGCTTTCATCACACTTAATTATCCATGGTAACGTTAGAGTAAAGAGAAAATAATAGGTTTGAACACACAGAATCATCAACATACACGTTAGAATTAAGAGAACATAACAGCTTTGATCACAAAGAATCATCCATGTACACATAAGAGTAAAGAGAACATATGAAGTTTGAACACACAGAATCATACACATACATTTTACAGTCCAAATGATTTTTGGTAAGTGCAAATACCTTTGGATCTCGAAGATGCATATCAATAAAAGTTGAAAAAAATCCACGTTAAGATGAGATGAGATATGATCAGATATTGATCTGTCTTTTACAATTAATGCTCTCCAACTTCGTATTTTATTTGACCTTTTTTTATTCGAGCGTCACTGTTAAGGTTTTTTTTGTAAACGGAATGAGCAACTGGCGTACAAAATTTTAATCCTGGTATATATGATGAGTTCAAAACAATAGATCAACATGAATTTAAATAAGCTAATCAAGCAGAAATCTGATTCATGTTACAAATTTGACGAAAATCAAGAGGCATTGAGCGAGTGTTTTACTCTTTCTTGTGTAGATAATGGTTGCAAACTTGGGAATACATCTCTTATCTATGAATTCCATGCAGTATGTTTTTATTTACTTAAATGGCCAAATTTTACGATTTATATAGACCTATCTTGTTCGAAGCAACATAATTTGCTTTCCCGCATGATGCCGCCCCTGGAAAAAGAGGGGGGGGGGGGGGGGCTGGTCATTTTGAAATCAAATATATAAAATTTTCTTGATCCCCCTAAAATTTTACACTATTTTTTTTTAATTTTATCCCCCCTTAAAAACATTTAAAAAAAAATGTGATCCCCCTCTATTAAACATGCCAAAATTTTAACACTTTGACACATATGATATGTAGGATGAAGATTAAAAAGTTCTCAAATGTTTCATATAGAGATAAAATTGATCCCCCCACTTTGAATTTATAAAAAAAATTGAACCCCCCTTTTCCAGTTATAGAAAAAAAATTGATCCCCTACATTTTGACCAGCCACCCTCCCAGGTAAAAAATGTTAAGTCCCTTAATTAAAAAATACAAATCGTTAAATTATTCAAAATGTGATCGAACGTTTGAGAATGTTCATTCCTCTTTTTCAAAATAACAAGAATTTTAAAAGACTGTGATAAATTGATAGTATATAAGTAACAGAACTTAATAAGCAGAAACAAAAATGAAAGGTCAGTTACCTTGTTTTTTAGATTTAAGCAGTTGAAAATTTGGCGGGAAATGATTCTCTCTTGCCTTTTCTTATATTTAACACCGACACCTTTTTTCTTTCAAAAACTATGAAAAATAACAAGGATTTTATAAGATTTTCAAAATATGACTTTTTAAACTATATATTATAAAATTATGAAAAGAAAAGTACGGGTTAGCGGGCAAAATTTGTAATGGCACTACATGTATAAAACCAGAGAATTCCGAATATCTGACAAAAAAGTCAAAAACAAGAGGGGCGAACATCCTTAATTTGTTTACTGCCATACTATTCGAGTAACCAAAATCCCATTAAGTCCTGCATTTGCCTAAACGTTTTTCTTATAGATTGTGAGGATACTCATCAAAGGCTCAGGCAATAACTATGGTAAAAATGCCACACATGTACATGTATCACGCATATGCACATGCGTGGCATTAAACCCTGTGAAATAAACAAACAAATAATAAGTAAATTTATATGTAGTTAATTATAAAAAACACAATGAAAAGCTATATATAAGTGAGATTCAATATAAACTTTAACTGCTACACTTCAATAATGTTATGTTGTGTATTCTGTCCCTTACATGATTTGTTCATTTCCTCCAAAAACTGACATAAACAGATTGCCCGACGTGAATGTCTGATATTCGCGGGATGGCTTAGTTTTCCAGACAAAAACTTATCAAAGTAGCTTACAGATATATCTAAAATCTTGTCCAATGCTTCTTCCTGTAATCAAAATTGAAAGACGGCGAAATAAAATAACAATTTAGTCTGTAATGTAAAGAATTACGCTGTCTTTTGATCATATTTTTTGCCGACCGTGCAAGACCCTCATGGGTAGTCAAGGTCGTTAAAAACCATCCTTATCTTGATAATATTGATCGTATTATTCAGTAGTACACTAAAAAAAAAATTAGCCAGCTGCGTAATCTATATTCCTTCTATAGTCTTTCTTTACATTCAAAGTACGAAGTTCAACATTCTGTCGATTGTGAAAAATTGAAAAGAAATCAAAATCCTGATTGGTTTGAAAGTTATAGCTTCAATTAGCTAGATGAATCATGTACCCCGCATGCCTTATTTTACCCGAAATGTATATGTTCCCCAACTTAAAAATATAAAAGTTCTAGGTTGAACACTGTTGGAGGAGTAAACCATGTACCCTACGTGGGACAGACGGACGGACGAACAGTGGCGAAACAATATGACACCGACATTTCGTCGCGAGTGTATAGAAATCCGCTAATATAATTTGAAGTGTTATACTATTTTAGCTAAAAGAGAAATATATATACATGGCATCATACATATTTTGAGCACGCAGATCCAATGTCTTTTCAGAGAAGATCGAAACCTAAATAATAGAGGTTCTGAGATTAAGGGCATACGATACAGTTTTGATCCCACGTTGATTTTTTTTACAAAAGTTTGCATACAAGCAATATTCCACCTAGATAATTCAAATATGCAATAAAAAATATGCATTCATGTGCTACTTTGAGAGATAAATGGGGTCGAAATTTGAGACATTTACTCAAAATTTCAGGGTTTTTTTACTTTTCTATCCTTTGGAAAAACATGCGAAACTTTTTTGTTTCAAAAGATAAACACAAGCGGATTTTTGTTAAAACATTTGGAATATCTTCTCAACATAAGTATGCTCTAAAATTTTATAACAATTCTTTTAAATAATTAATTTTTATCAAAGGTTCAGTATTATACAAAAAAAAACAGGTTTTTTTGCTGTATATTTATCTAATTTCAAAAAAATTTCGTCGTTGACTTTTTCATAAAAAATGGTACAAATAATCTTCATACGTAATCATACCTAATGTCATTTTAAAAAAGAGGGGTCCATGAACTCGTTTTCAAGTCAAATCAGTCTGAATGATAACAATCAGTCGAAAAATGCCTCTTTTCCCGATATGTCGCAGTTTGACGTCGCGAAAAATAATATTTTACGTTGGCAACGTCATCATCTCCCCTGTAACTGTATCGTATGCCATTAACCAAGATATGATTTACATCAATATCAATAGCCCTGGTGTTCACGCCAATCAACGAAGTTCTTTCATTTACTTCAGTGATGTCATCTTCATCAATAATCTTAACTCTGGTCTCATCTGCACTTTGTCTTACGTGGTGTTCTTTGATGTATTCCTGTAAAATGTTCAACTTTAAACGTTAAAGGTGACGATGTTTTATTTTTTGAGGTAATTAGGTAATTTATATTTGGCATACAACGAATTTTTTTTTTCACAAACAGCCCCAAACCCTTTCATAACGTTAACTAATTGCTCAAGCAAAAAGGTGAAAAGCACACATTTGGAAGAGATGTTCATCGTATCACGCATTTATTCGCCTTGTTCATGTCTTTCTAACAATTTGTGTAGTTTCTTTATTTACTAAAAAAACAATATATCTATGACATGTATGTCTTTCAGTAGTTTTTGTTTAGCTCAACAGATAATAAGTACAATTGATTACTTGTAGGTAATATTTGTTTATTTGGCGACCAATCTGATTAGTCGATGTCGTGGAAATCGTGCTTTTGTCTTTTCGTAATTTTTCGTTTTTTGCCATGGTTTTGTCGGTCTCTCTTCGATTTATGAATTTTGATTATTTTTGTAGTATTTTTCGCCTTTTTTTACGCCTTTGCAAGAGTTTCTGATATGCTTCTAATCAAGAATCACACTACTCTATTTGTAGATTTACCACCGTCAGCTGAGGATTTGACGATCACAAATACAGTTTTATTAACTGCGCGACCACCAATTTCATTCGTGTAATTGATGGCAGACGATATCCAATGAAAAGTTGCGTTACATGTCAAATTGCATTATGATTTCAAGTTTCAATTTTGTTATCCGATTGTTTAGATCGTCTATTTGCGGCTAACCTGCCATAAATGCAAAAACTTACCATACATTGATGACAGTCGTAATAAATAAAATATATCTTTTTACTGTTAAGTTGAAATTCTTAAAACATGCATGTGAACATGGCTACATGTATAAACGTGCTGTCACATATACTCATATTTATCTCAAATGGAATCGTTATCCGTTAATTTTCGAACCTAACGTCTTACATGCTATGTGACTTTTAAATACAACATGCAATATTAATGATGGATATTTTTTCAAAGATTAATGTATACAGATGAAAAAAACTCTAAAATCGCTCGAAAGCTAGTTATTATAGCACATTGCTTTTATGAAATATGAAATATGACTTGTGACCAGAATCAAAACATTAATATGAATAAACCGATGTTTTTTTGTTTTTTATAAAAAATCAGAATGCGCTAGGCAAAATTGTCAAAGATACCTTAAATATCCGTTCTATGCTTTTCATTTGATCGATTTTGTTTCATGACGAACTCTTTTAAAAGACAGACATTCAATCGATAAATACTGTTTAGAACGTAAACACAAATTTTGAGTATTTTTCTGTTGATATTTTTGTAAATTTTATATGGGAGTGTGTTGTGTGTTTCTGCAAGTAAATTCGATCTTAACACATTGAAATGTAGGTGTACTCTTAAACATGTCTGAAAATATTTGTTTAAAGGATACGGTAACTTTTGCTGTCATTCTAGCTATTTTGTATGTCATGAATATATTAGATGACACTAAAACTCTGTTTACTCCAGCTAAATGTAATTTCATTTCAACTTCTCCCTGGAAAAGAATGATTATGTCTGTTGTTAAGAGTATAGCACTATGTATTCCTTGAAAACATCAAAGTAAGTATTCATGCAATGGTATTAAATATAATCAAATGAATCATTTTGATAATATTAATAACAACTAATTTTCAAAAGAGTTTGCCCTTCAGCATTGTAAGCGATCTCAAGCCTAGATTTCCTACAGAATTGTTTTGAAATATAAATTGAAGGTTTATATCAGCAGTGTTTGGGACAAGTTCGGAAATAAACCCTGATCAATAATTTTATCAGGAATTATGTCCCTGAGAAATGTAAATTCTTTAGAAAATTGCATTGTAAGCACTCTTGCGTATACACATTTTGTCAGATATTTATAAAATTTATATCAAGGGTTTATATCAGCAAGTTTGAAAATCAGTGCCGATCAATTATTTTTAAAAGAGTAATGCCCCTTGGAAATATTAATTATATGGAGAATTGCATACACGCGCTCTATAGCCTACATTTCTAAACGATATGTATAAAAAGTTTGGAAGAACCGAAATCATTTGTTTTACATATTCTAGATAATGTCCTTGGACAGATACATTATGAACAATGCGGGGAACATTGGCACTTTGTTCTTTTTTACTTTAAAGGGTTATGTCCCTTGGAAACATAGATACTAGATGGAAATTTGCATTGTTAAGCGCTTTCAAGCCTACATTTATTTTCCTTAAGATATTAATAAAAAGTTTTAAAGAACAAAATAAAGAAAAAGAGTTTCTTATTTACTGCCTTAGACCGATAAAGTATGAACAAAAAATTGAAAACAACACGTTTAATAATTTCAATGCGTCCGAAGCGCTACAAGTGCGAAATTGGGACTCTGTTCTTTTATTTATCTGCATTTTTCCAAATGTCAAGTTGATTAATTTTTATCCGTCTGTCTTCGTGTATTGTAAATGAAATATTCTTAGTTCAAGTAGCGATAGAAGAATTGTCTCTTGAAAATTCTTTTAACATTGTAATAAACTTGACAAGAATACTATTTTAAGCAGCATACATACAGAAGCCTTTTTATCTATTAAGTACAGGGCATAAGCTTTAATCGTTTTTAGAATCAGTATAGATCATCTAGTGATGATACGTGTTATGATTATTTTGTCATGTCGGGTCCTTTTATAGTTGACTATACGGTTTGGAATCTGATCATTGTTAAAGGCAGTATGGTGACCTCTAGTTGCATCAAAACAAGTCATTTAGATTCTGATGGATAGTTGTTTCATTGGCAATCATACCCATATCCCTATTCTATATAAATGTTGCACGAATAAAAATTAGACCTTCAGGTGAACTTGAATTTTGAATTGCATTAGCACAAGTCTAGCAGAATAATAACAGATTAAAAAAAGACTTTCGAAAATCAAATTATCAAACCTGGATCGTTTGTGTTAATACTCTAATGAAAAACCCTGACGGAGGTTTAAGAATGAAGTTTCCTTCATTAACATGAAACAGTAATAAGTAAATACTTAAATCTTTCAATTTCAAACAGCTTTACGGTGTTTTTTAAAGAGATGGTGTGTATCTTTTTGTTGCTACTTTAAGTATTAAAAACAGATAAAATTATACATACTATGAAACTGTAAGAATGGTTGTGTGAAACCTGCGTCCACTGTAAATAAATAAACAGATATGTATGTATGGGAATTCTATATTAACAATTGTAATATATTTAAAAGTGGCTATAAACAAACTGTAAAGAACTATAATGACCATGCTGAAACTAATATCATCAACTTTCGAAAATAGTAGATTGTTTTTTTATTTTAAATAGATCATCCCTGACTTTTTTTTTAACAAAAACACTTTTACAAAAAGTAGCAGAAGTTATGAAAAGGGATTACAGTATCTAAAGTCGAAGATAGAAATGTCGCACGCACGATACAGTGAAAAAAAAGAAAAAAATGGAGATGGTATATATCGGAAGAAAGGGACAAACACATAATATTTTTATATCATATTTCAATCAACATGACTAAAATACAATCGAAGGCGTTTACCCCAAAATGTAGTTGCTATTTAGATATTAACCACAAGATAATAAATTTTCTATTTTATTTTCTGATGACCCCTCGTTTCAAATGCTTTTTCGATTTTTAGTCATTATCTACCTGGGGCTTTGATCGCTGCTAGAAATTGTGGAAACCACAGTTCTATGTCCTCTCTTGCATCAATCCATGTAAAGAATTCTAAATCTTCAGGAATTTCACAATCCTCCCTTTTAACAGGAATAAGTATATGTTTGTGTTCGCTGAGAGACATATGCAGGGAATAATGAACTTCAATTTTACAATACAAACTTTCGTTGTATTCTTTTGAAAATACAAGCACCGTTTTAACGGAACGTTTAATGTATTCTTTAATATTTTGAATAATTTCTTTTCCCGGGAGAAAATCAAGTTCATGATCACAGCACTTAAAGCCTCTGCTTTCTAATTCTGTTATTACATTCCTCGTCCATTTCCGATCTTCTTCGGTATTTCTATATGAGAAAAACACATGATAGTCCTTTCCCTCCGGTAGAGTGGGTCCCTCTGGAAGAGGTCGAGGTCGTTGCCTATTACAAGTAATCCCAGAAGAAGTTGTACTTCCATACTCCATTCTACAACACTAATCGAGGAAACATAATAATCGATAAAACATTTGCAACACCATATTCTGTTTTTCGTTTTGTTATCGAATAAAAAAATAAATTAGTCGTTGAAAATGTATATTTAGGTGGTAAAACTAAAAATGAAAGATTTATTTGTACTTTGTGACAAAAATAGAATTTATTTCAAACTATCGATAAAATAGAATTTTGTCTTTGGCAATTCATAATTTTGCTATAACAACTTGAATTGCCAAAGACGAAAGACAAAATGCAATACTACTAGTATTTAAATAAATACCATAAAAAGTAATATACAATGTATATTCCACCGAGAATGTTATCAAGCTACATGCACGTGCAGACTTATCATATTTGGAAGGGATATACCAGAAAAACGCCCTGTAAGGAAACCTGGTAACAAGAAATAAATATAAGTGAGATAATATTGACTTTTGTTTCTATAACATATTAAAAGGGGGATGGTACTTTAGCAGCCCAGGGTGCCTAAAAATGGAATAACACCTCCTTTACAAAAAGGTGTGACCAGAGTTGTCAGATACCATGCCAAGTCTTGATTGTCTGTGTGTGTTTATCAAAATGAAACTATTTTAAAACGTCCTGAGCATCATCATTTGGATTATTTTGGGAAAACCTTTCGGAAGCAAAATCAGAGGATAAGATGTTTGTTTGAAAATTGTCCCATCAGAATCAAAGATTGCCTTGGCGGACATTTTGTTTGTTTGATTGGAACAACACGAGAATCTCATTGAATTTTTCATACATCATTAAAGTGTTCATTGGCCGGATATTCTTTGCTAATCTATATTTGAGGCTTTTGATCTGTTTAGGACACTTAGTCAATGTGTTTAATTGGTTTAGTTTAACGATATAGGTAAGTATCACAGTTACGTGAAGGACAAGGGCGAGATTCTTGTTACTTTGTTTTAAGATTTGAATTTCTTTTGTCTTAAAAGGTTATAAGATTATTTGCTTATAGAAGAAAAAAGTTTTGAAATTTTTATAGAGTAATTATGTGACTGCGAAATTTAAAATGTGTTCATTTATGTGATTTCAAGGTACAGTTTCTAGATTGGGAACCAATTCTTGGACATGAGGGTTTCATTTCCCAGTGACAGTCTAATCCCATCCATTGACCCACCTTATTAGATCTACTTATATCGACCTGAATATGCATGAATCATTTGCAACTGGACGTTATGTAACACGCAATCAATCAACACTTCGGGCATGCCCCTATATTCTACGTCTTATTCAACTTCATACCAACATACTCTCGAGAACATACCATTCCATTTGAATTTCAAAGCTCTTTATATATGTGCAACACCTTACCATTGTAAAATTGAGAATACGGGTAGCAATTAAACACTGCTTTTAATGAAATACCGTGTTTGTTAAAACAATGACATGGGAATAAAAGTTAAAAAAGCTGAAATGATAAAAGGCATTTAATGAAATATTTTATATCACAACCCGCCATATAGAAGGACTTAATGCATAAACATGCACAAAGCGATTTTGACGATTACAATGATAATCTGGTTCCAAATATATACGATTGTTTACTGTTGTACACCACCAGTGTATTAAAAGTCAGTGTGTGTATGTTTCATACATGTTATATAAATGTCACTTAAATATTTTAGCGTATAAAATATATCTACTATATACTTACATTACTTCCGTATTCTTTGGTTCCGGAAATGAATGTGTAGGTAAATATTACAATGAAAACGAAAGAAAAAGTAAACAATTATATTTCAAATATATCGGATATTAAGTAATTTAATAAAGATAAAATTACATAACATTACTACACCATACATCTATGGAGTATTTATGACAGGAAAAATCAAGTCAATGGTTAGATAATTGCAAGTAGACATACAAATTACAAATAAAATACATATTCCTTAGGAGCGGATCAAGATTTTTTGAAAGGTGGTGAGTAATTTCAGAAAACGGAATAAATACTGTCGAGCAGAAAGAGGCGAAAATTGTTTTGGGACAACTTTATGCTAAACTCCAACATGTCCAAGGTAAATTCAAAAGGGGGAAGTCCATAAAACCTGACAAAATCAAACGTTAGACTAAATCAACCAACATAAATAAATATACGGTGTAGAAGTATTAATTCTATGTACTGACGTTTTTTTTATCATTTAAATTACGTGTTAAAGTGTTTCTTCTGAATAGTCTTTGTATATCTTTGACCTTTACAATTTAGGTAATATCCTTTAGGCGTGGCTCGGCAGTGGCGGATCCAGGGGGTGGTGGTGGGTTCCGGGGGTTAGAACCCCCCTTTTTTTGACGATCAATCCATTTAAATGGGGACATATAGTTGAACCCCCCCCCCCTTTATCCTGGGTTGGGACCCCCCTTTTAAAAATGGTTGAATCCGATCCTTCTCGGTATTTATACATCCCGCCATTGTGTTATTGTGCTATGGTCATTTGTTGTATTCTTGTCGTTCATTTTTACTTCTGTGCTTTGTCTATAGTGTCTATATGCCATTTTGTTTTTCATTGCTGACATAGCTGTTTGTTTTTTATAGTGATTAAGATTATAACACAATGTTGACCGCTGTACCACAATTTTGACATTTATACCTATTACTAGTATGTCTGTTTGTTTTGCGCACACATGTGTTTGTCAATATAATGGAATTCTATGTGATTGTTATACAAAAGAGAAGTTAAGCTAGCTATAAAACAAGGTTTAATCAACCATTTCCCTGTAAATCCCTGTACCATGTCAGGAATATGACAGGCGTTTGTCCTTCGTTTGAGCTATTGATCTTACCATTTAATAAGGGACTTTCCGTTTTAAATTTTTATTGGGGTTCGGTATTTTTGTTTTTTTTACTTTTTTCCATTTAAGGTTGAATGTGTACAAAAATTAATGATATGCTAGACTTGTGCACATATTTTTTTATTAGTTGCTATTGACTTTGAACTAGCTGTCATTTAACAGGAAGTAATCTTAGATCTGTACTTTGTGTCTGTGTTGGGTGAGTATGCTTTACATTGATTTAAGTAACGTCCAGTTCAACTTATTTATATGCCCCCACAACTGAAAGTTTGGGGGCATATTGTTTTACCCCTGTCCGTCCGTCCCGTTATGGGTATATCGTTATCACAGATAACTTCTCCTACAGTTTGAATGCTAGTAAGTTTTCGCTTGGCTGTCTGTTTGTACATATATTGAAGGTGGGCATGTGGTCAGGGTTTTGATTTTTATTGATATTTGCTCTTTTGGGAGACAGTTGAACTTTGTCATTTTTGGTATTATATACTTGCATAAGAGGTGCATAGTGTTTCCGTATAACTTCTCCTACAGTTTGAATGCTAGGAAAATTTCACTTTGCTGGCTGTTTGTACAAATATTGAAGGTGTGCATGTGGTCAGGGTTTTGATATTTATTAATATTTACTCTTTTGGGACATAGTCGAACTTTGTCATGTTTGGAGTATTTACTTGCATAAGAGGTGCGTAGCGTTCCCTGATAACCCCTCCTACAGTGAACCATAGACATATCATGCCCTATGTGCTCCCATGCTCAACTTTGCGTATTTAAAAACAAAACTGTGCATGTGCGGGGGCATCATTTGTGTTTCCCAGACACAAAAATTTCTAAAAAAAAGTCCTACATTGACTTTGTTATGATACTGTTACTTCAGAGTGGAGTGCGGGGGCATCGTTTTGTCTAGTTCTTATGTTGTACTGTTACACCTATTTCCTAGGTAATGGGGGAGGTTTGACGCCAGAAAACATATTAAACCCCGCCATATTCTGTACGTGCCTGTCCAAAGTCAGTAGCCTGTAATTCGGTGGTTGTCGTTTGCTGCTGTATATCATATTTGTTTTTCGCTGTGTACATAAACCGTTAGTTTTCTCGTTTGAATTGTTTACATTTGTCATTTCGGTGCCTTCTATAGCTTTCTATGCGGTATGGGTTTTGCTCATTTTTGAAGGCCATACATGACCTCTCGTTGTTAACTTCTGTGTTATTTTGTCTCTGTGATGCGTTGTCTCATTGCAATCAAATCACAACTTCTTTTTTTTTAGATATACAAAATGCATTTGCAAATACATGTGAAGAAAGTTAATGCATTGTAATAATATAAATGGCAATGGGAGAACAATCTGTCTTATCTAAACTACATATCTTTTAGTGTTTCTGACAATTCGACAAAATTATTCATTTAGTATTATAGATAAGAGATTTATTTTCATATATCTTTATATGCCTTTTATTATCTTACCTACATCTTATTTTTAGCCTGGATTTTTAGTATTAGTATTGTCATCTGATAAGGTCATGCTGATTATAAGGTGCACAGTTTTCTCTGCTTTCAAAATCTTTCTTTTAAACCCGTCGACCTGGAACTTGTTAATTATTGGTAATATTATGTGGAAAACAAAACGGCCTGGAATGGTGTTGTTTTTAATCAACAACATTGTCCTATATTAGTTATATTTAAAGTTGAATTCTTTGATTCGTCATTTTTACGTCATGCCGGCTAACAAATTAGAAAGTACCTACGCCTTATTTTTAGCATTGACTTTTTGATATTCGTATAGTCATTTTATAATGTTATGCTGATTATAAAGTGCACAGTTTTCAAAGGTTTCAAAAACTTTCTGTTTGAACCCGTTCTGGTTTTCTTGCTACATCCGGAAACTACATGCGACAATGATTGAATTTAGTAGCGTCAATCCCTGTATAATGATGAGATGAAGTTCAGGTGTGATTATGACCCGTGTACATAGCAAATCCCAAATACACTGTTTGAAGGTGCGCCTGATAGAGGCCGAACGTACATATTAGGTAACCGATAACAGGTTACATATACTATTGGTATCGGTATCGGATTCGATCCGGAACATTTTAATTATTGGTGTCCTTTATTAGTTATATATAAAGTTGAATTCTTCGATTCGTCGTTTTTACGTCATGCCGGATAACAAATTGGACCTCGTTATTTAAGTAATATAGATATAACAGACCTTCGTCTTTAAGAGAAGAAAGGGGCCTCGGTGGCCGAGTGGTCTAAGAAGTTCATCTACTGTATCACTACCCTGTCAACACTGAGGTTGTGAGTTTCGAATCCCGCACGTGGCAGGTGCGTTCAACTCCAATCTTAATTGACTAGGATTGTCAGTTTTCATACCAAAGGTTGGTGGTTCTTTCCGAGCACACCGGCTGCCTCCACAAATAAAAACTGACCGCCACGAAATAGCACAATAGTTCTGAAAGTGGCGTTAAACACCAATCAATAAATCAAAAGATACCATCATTGAAGAACAACAACTCTTATATTTATGCAGTTTACTTATGCTTCAGTTATACCATAATTTTTATACATCATGTATTGCCGACCAGTTTTGTTGCTGACAATTTCTGTTAGTCGATTTTACTTTGTTGATTATACTTGTAAGATAATAAGCAAAAGTAGAAACAAATCCTCATTTATTATCAATAACATCAGTAGTAATGCAATGGTTTTGGTCATATTGACATGTTTGTAGATCTTGTATTGCTGATTATTTTTGCTTTATTCATTTTCTATCTATCTATCTATCTATTTTCATACCTTTCGAGTAATTAAAAACTTATTATTAAAGGACAACTCAGGTTGTAAGTTCCCATGGTTTCAGTCATTATTAACAATTTGTAGAACTTATATTATTTATCTATTTTTTCTGTTTAGAAGTTGAATCTATTTATAATTTTGTTCGATATAAATGGAAAAAACTCCCAAATGAGTTTTAATATTTAAAAAAAAGATATGATCGAATACTGAAATGGCCGGTTGCGCAGATTGCTACTTTTACAATGGATAAGGGTCTTTACTAAAAATTTAAATATATATTGAAACATAAATATATATATATTGTAAAAATATAATTCTTTTTTAAACAACTCCATAATGGAACTAAAGTTTCAAAGATGGTAACAATTTATGCATCTAATTAAATTATTTAGAACTCCACAGAGAGTTAGCAAACCTAATGAGGTTATAAACCCTCTTTCATAAATTGTACTGAAAAATGACCGGAAAAACGAGAAAAATAATCCTCAAGCAATTCCATAATAGCAGGTGCACAACTTTAACAAACGTGCAATCTTCTTGTGAAGTTTTAGGGATCTGGGTTAAAAAATGTAGATGTTGATTACACAAATTAGGTACCCTCTTTCATAAATTTGGCTGAAAAATGACATAGTTCCAAAGTCCGAAAAAATCAGAAAAAAATCCTCTAACAATGAGTAATGTTTAAGGGTTTACAAATTCAATCATTTGAAATCATACATAGCTATATATTTCAACTGTTAATCAATTAACTAATGAAAATAGACTATTCATGTTATATTCAGTCTTTATAATTGCAAATTCACAATCTAACAAAGCGTTTTATGATTAACACTACTTCTAAAAACCCTGACACATATTTCTTAAGAAATAGAACATAAAGCCACAAGAATGTACTTAAAATGCATACTAAACAAAGTAAGTTGTAAACAATACTAGATTACTTAATACAATTTAAAATGTCATTATCAGTAAAACAAAGTATAAATTAAAATCATTATCTTTATAGAGAAAAATGACTTTGAAAACTTTCCTGTAAATTACATAATAGTCTTAACGTTATCTGTTAAGGTATCCTTAAAAAAAACTATTTATCTTGACAAGAAAACTGTGACAGAAAAATATTTATCTAAACAGGAAAACTTTGACAGACAACTTTAAAAAATATGCATCTGGACACGCTAACTTATGTACAAATTTTTTAACAAACAGGCATTAATGTTGAATATATTGATATTGACAGCAACGATGAATATATAGATACTGACTGCACGAAAGATAAAGGAATTGAACATTTGTGATGTCTTACTATACTGACTGAGTGATAAAACGTTTTGAAACATTAAGCGAATAAAAATAAAAAACATGGACGATTAAAAAGTAAAACATTCCAATAAAATTTTAAACAATTACATCGTGTGATGATTTTTTGTTGTCCATAGAATAATTGCGACAGATCTAAACTTGAATGAAGTCTGTTTATATAATAACCCATAACATGTTACAACAACATAATAATCTTGTATCTTTTCTATGTCAGTTACATCGACACTGAAGACATCTGACTCTATTCGGCACCTTTAAAATTTAGATTATTATTCATTTTTAAGAAAAACGTATGGATTGGCTTTTCAACATGACAAAATAACTCCTAAGGAAGTAAACTAGAGGCTCTAAAGCGCTTGTGTCGCTCACCTTGGTCTATGTGCATATATATCAAACAAAGGGCACTCTCCAACATATTGTAGACGAGAATAGACTTCATGACGAAAATCTCTATTTTGTTGATCTTATAATACTGATCTTTTAGTCTGTTTAGTTTCTCTCTATTTTCTTTAGTTTTTGCTCAAAACACAAAAGAGGGTAAAAGAAATCCTCATTTAAGGGCAATCACTCCTATGAAGAGTGACAGTCTACTAACTATATCCGAAAAAGTTGACTTTTTAATGGATCTTGCCTTGCTGATCATTTTTGTGATTTAAAGTGTTTATTTATCTATTATAATTTAAATCATATAAGGCATAACAGGAAAAAGAAACATGTTTCTCTCTAAATATCATAGTTAACATGGTGAACGGCAAAAATGAAAAAAAAATGGTAAAATTTGTCATTTATGGGCAATAACTCCTATAAAAATTTGTCTAACAGTTTTGACATATATGGACAATTGGTAGAGCTCATAATTCTTAACATTTTTGCTCCTTTCAGATTTTCTCTATTTATAACGGTTAAAAAAAAATAGACAAAACTTGCATATTACCCCTATGTCATATTTTTAGCCATCCCTGACATCTTAGATGGCAGGCGGGGTCATGGGACACATTTTTTAAACTACATACCCTAATGATGATTGTGTCCAAGTTTGGTTAAATTTGTCTCAGTAGAGGATTACGCTAAAAGATTACAAAAATTTACAAAAAATTGTTAAAAATTGACTATAAAGGGCAATAAATCCTTAAGGGGTCAATTGACCATTTTGATCATTTGACTTATTTGTAGATCTTACTTTGCTGAACATTATTGCTGTTTACAGTTTATCTCTATCTATAATAATATTCAAGATAATAACCAACAACTGCAAAATGTCCTTAAAATTACCAATTCAGGGACAGCAACCCAACTACGGGTTGTCTGATTTGTCTGAAAATGTCAGGGCAGACAGATCCTAACCTGATGAACATTAAGACTCATGTCAGATTTGCTCTGAATGCTTTAGTTTCAGAGATATCAGCCAAAATCTGCATTTTACCCCTATGTTCTATTTTTAACCATGTCGGCCATCTTGGTTGGCGGGCCGGGTCATCGGACACATTTTTTAAACTAGATACCCTTATGATGATTGTGGCCAAGTTTGGTTAAATTTGTCTCAGTAGTTTTAGAGGAGCATATTTTTGTAAAAGTTAACGACGACGGACGACGACGGTCGACGGACGCCAAGTGTTGAGAAAAGCTCACTTGGCCCTGCGGGCCAGGTGAGCTAAAAAGTAAAATATTTAATTTTTTTTCTTCAAATTGATATAAAAGCGTTAAAAGAAGAAGTAATGTAAATGCAATATGACTTTCCTTCATAAAATATGACAAAGTCCATGGTTTGCTACGGAAATTATTCAACAGATAACAAAATGGATAAAAGTTAAAAATCAATTAGATAGTTTAAAATTTTCTAAATATTTCACTGAAATCCAAATACTATTTAATGTAGAGGTTTTTACTGATAGAAGTGCACAATAAATAATAGAACGAAATAACAAACATAGCTATCAGTTATATAACTTCCACTTCATTAAGAAACAAATATCTACATATAATATTATATCATTACAGCAGCAACATAGATAGCTATGTCCTGAACTATTGTTCTAACGAAATAAATATCTTATATCGTGAATAGCATGCATTATAATTACATGCTTTAGATATTTAGTAACGAATCCAAACTTCTATCTTTTTGGATGATGATGATGATGATGATGATGATGATGATGATGATGATGATGATGATGATGATGATGATGATGATGATGATGGCTACATAACGTTCAATTGCAAATTGAAATGCATATTCAGGACGAGAACATGTTAAAGGCATTGGTAAGTCTTCTATGTTTTTAATCTTAGTTCATTTATATGTTTTGGAGTTTAGTATGACGTCCATTTTCACAGAACTAGTACACAGTTTTATTTAAGGGACAGCTGAAGCCTGCCTCCGGGTGCGGGATTTTCTGGCAGTGTTGAAAACGCATTGGTGGCCTTCGGCTGTTTTCTGCTCTTTGGTCTGGTTGTTGTCTCCTTGACATATTCCCCATTTCCAATCTCAATTTTATAATGTAATATGAATACTAACCCTGCTATGTACTAGACCGACACGCTGAGTAGGATATTTAACGTGCTAGTTCACAAGGTAACAGTCCACAGGAAGACATGTCACCTTACCCGGACACTAATTCTGACTCAGAGCCGACCAATCTTTGCTCTGACTCCTTAATGCCGCGTGATTAGTGGAAAAGCAGTAAATACGAATTTTAAAGTCTTTGGTTTGACACGGCCGGGGTTCGAATCCACGACCTCTAGCACTCGAGTCGAACACGCTTCCACGAGACCACCGAGGCGGTAATTTAGGAGGAATTCCAGGACAAAACAAATGAGGAAAAGAGAATTGTGCAAAATTTTGCCATTGGGGTTGCAGTACATCGGAAACCTTTTTATATTTAATTAGCATAACTGCATGACATCTGTCTGCATTCCTGATTTAAAGGCATACATAGTTACTGGTCGCTACATACACCGTGTAACCTTCCTTTGAGTTGGACTTCCATTTCTTCCAAATTTTTAAGCTCAATTTCATATCTTTGCAAAAGCAATTTATAAGCTTCCAATCTTTGTAACGTATATGCATCAAAATTTTGCTCCTTATCGCATGACCTACTCATTCGACATCTGATATAGGAAACGCACGCCTCCCGTTCAAACCATTTCAAAGAGATCTCGGAAGTCTGACTTATATCCTCTACTTTGGCATATTTTGGAATTATTTCTTCAAAACACTTTTCTGACTTCAATATTTGACCTGTGGCAAAATAAAGATCGCCCAGTGAGCATACAAGGCTGGGGTAGCAAGTATTGTCCTCCATACTTTTCATCATCACAGAAAGATCTTTACCCCACTTTAATGCTTCGTAACGTACTTTGTCAGTTTTCTCGATTTTTATCAAATTGATGTAACATCCAAGTATCAGCCGGACCCATATGGCAGTGAAATGATCGCTTTTATCATGCAAAACTTTCAAAACACCAAATTCATAGTAGTTTACTCTTTCTGTAAGCCTACTTTTACAAATTGAAATGTAATCATTCAAAGTAGAAGCATCTACTTCTCTTTCATTACATAAAAAGTCTAAAACAGACTGAATTTTACTCCTCTCTGTTAGGACGGAAGACAGCCTATCTATGTCACTTTTTCCTTGCTCAGAACCAAAACTCAAATGATTCTCACTGATATATTTCATTTTTGACAATTCATTGGCAACAGACAAATATGAGAAAAATATTTTTGCCGTTTGTATATCTCTATCATCTGGAAGGTAAAAGAGTCTTCTGCCATATGTATGTAAAACAGAAATTATGAGTTCAAACAAAAATTCTTTACTTAGTCCTTCTAATGGTACTGCATATCCTCTGTGTGACAACTGAACATACTCATCTTTGATCAAATGAGTGGTTTCTGCTAGTTCCTGTTTTTTAAGTAATCTTGACAGTACTTCTGCATCCTGTGCATTCCGATATTTATTGATCACATATTCCTCACTGACTTTTTTAACGGAAGGCAGTTGCTTTGCATTGTTGATAAAATCAACAATTGTTGAAAAGAGTTCTTTAGTTTTTTCACAAACTAAACTTTCTTGGTGAAAGATATCGCAATCAGCTTTGACTAACTTTTCAATGTCCACTTGAAATGTTTTTTCTACGTTTAGTAGTTTAAACAAGTCCTTTTTTGCATCTTCGAAATATTCACTGGCTTCGCTGAACATTTCATTAAAGCTGTATGTGTATCCTATTATATCTTTTAAGTATATAACTTGTAAGATGTGATCTACGTTTTTAAATGGTGCACCTTCTAGTTTCCCCTTCATTTCTGCTTTAAGTTTTTCCAAAACGGCACGTGCATGAGGTACAAGTAAAGTGTGACGCTGAAGATCTGACTTATGCTTATTGTCTTTGTCCATCAACAAAAAGAAAGCTCTTAACAGCTTTTTCAAGAGCTTCTCATTCGTTAATAGAACTTCAGCCTCCATTTCGGTCATATATATCTCTAAGGCTGATTTCACTAAATCATGAGTGCTAATTTTTCTGTTATCATCATGATCATCTATTGTTCCGAATGACGAATTCTTAATTTCATAAATAAGGTCGTCAATGCAGAAATCCGATGCTTCGTATGATGTTTTTGTGAACAGAACTACAGGTATATTTTCGGCTTCAAGAAATTGTAGTAAGAGTAACATTTCAAATATATGCTGTTTTCCTTCTTGTTTGTATTTCATGTGCATATCCCTTATTATGCTAACTAGAGAACTAAAAAGTGTTTCGTCAAAAGTTTCATTTACGGCTATTGTTTTTTCAAGTTTTAGCATATCCAGAGGAAAATTAAGCTTTTTTGTAAGAGCTTTTGCTGACAAACCTGCTTGACTCATATATGATCTTGCAATATGCAACCCTTTCGGATTACAGCTAAACTTCTTGGCAAGCTGTAAGTAATACTTTTTATCTTCGTTTTGGACACTTCGAAAATTTGACAGAAATTCTACTGCTTCAGCTTCCGAAAATCCATCGACCTCTACTACTTCTGTGAATGCATCTAATTCTAACGACACTGATGTTGTCACAATTAGCTTAATGTTTACAACACGTTTACATTTCTGTAAAAAGCCATTCACAGCATGTTTAGAATTTGGCTTCACATCATCTAGAAGCAAAAACTGATATCCTTCTCTATCCTTGATCTCCCTTATTATGGCATCTTCTAGTTTGTTAAGCGTTTCTTTTTGAGATTCTTCTTCTTCAATTGTATTAATGTTAGGGAGGCATTTGCAAAGCTCACGCAATGATTTTTCAAACATATTTGTATCTGTACATCGTAACTTATAAACGACGATGGTAGAATTGCGTTTCCTGACATTATAGCAGTACTGTAGAGCAAGTTCGGATTTCCCTGTTCCTATCAAACCTAAAAATGATATTTATAATTTATAAATTAAATTAAAACAGTTTGTTTTACCAATGTTCATATCTCATTAATCGATTCAGAAGTCAAATCAAGGTGACATAATATAAGAGTGTCATATTAGAATGAATGTGAAAATAAATTCACCAATAATATTACCCTGCTCAAAATGATCTCTTATCAAATATATTCATTTAACCTATATCATTCATTTCTATGCTGATCTTGTTTGTAGAGACCGCAAATTAAAATACGATCCATATAAATTCATTGGTCCTTTTAAAACATTTATGCTTAAAGATAATCAATTTAACATTGTTTTAAATATTAAAATATTTTTTTTATCGGTGTTAACATTGATTTTGTTTTAAAAACATTACACATAACCAAATTTATCGCACCTCGGATAAAATAATGACGGTGTGATTGGTTTAGCGCTGTCACGTGGTGACCCCAATGAATCGGTAGGAGGTTAGTAAATTTAAAAGGGGTATCATCACGTCACGTCTACTATTAATGGTCACGTGATCCATTAATGTTATTGTATATCATCGTTTATTTTAATAAGAAAGGTTTTGTGTGCGATAACTTCATTATACGGTTCACTACTAATCCCCTATGGATCAATATAGGGTTAGTGAAATCAATAGGGTTTTCGGACTCCGGCCCTCTTTGAATTCCTAGGGGTTAGTAGCCAACCATATAACTTAAAATATATTGCTATACAGATATCAGTACTTATCCTATCGATACTGCTTACTTATATTTTTGGCAATGCACAAGGTCATGCATTCTTCAGACAGCGAATAACGTATATCCAATAAATCCGTTGGATGTGAACTGATTGATATTTTAGTATGGGAGAACATTATTTATTTAGTAGTAGGAAATTGGCTTTAAACTATCTTTCAGTAACTACGAGAACTCTTATGTCGGTGCTTTGTGTTTATTGTTTTGTACTAGTTGCTTTTTGTACTTTGTACAATATTTATTTTATTCTTATATCAACAAATTACTTAACATCATCTGAATTTGGTTTACAGCTTTCCTCAATAATCGTTCATTTATAATCTTTAAATCCACACAAGTTAAAGCAACCAATGTAACATCAAAAGAATCTCTCATTTGCAATATGACAAATTTGTAAATTATATATCTATTTGATTTCTGGTATTCATCATGTCTGTATTTGTCACCAATCATTACTTATAAATAATTGATCATAGATTATCATTTTTTCCATTTGTCGTCATATCATCAGATTTTAAATGTCAGGAGCACAAAAGAATGGTCCAGAAGATAGAAAGAAACTGCATATGATCAGAGTTCGAATTTCATTTGTCTTTGTGATGCTCAATCTTTATTTGTCAGAATAGGATGAACAAATGAAAATTACTTAAGGTATTTTGATAATTTAAGAAATTATTGTAGGAGTAGCAAAATCATGTTTGTTCATATTCATATTAAGCTAACCACAGAACTGTAGAGGTTGCACTTCTGTAAATATAGACAATGCAATTTCCATAGGAACTCCTTTTACGGCTAAAACTGTGTCACTATTTCTATGAAGTTTCGTTAAAATTGTATCCAAGAATGAAAAGTACTATTTTTTTCAACGGTCAAAACATAGGGATGTGCGGCATATTTTCAACATTTATATGCCCCGAACTTATGAGTTTAAACTTAAACTAAAATTATGTTCTACTCCTGCCTTCACTTTGGGTCGTCCCAGAATTTAATTTCCGTGCTATCCATGTGTATTAATACGAGTAACATTTCCAAGTTAGGTCTCTATGAGATGAAACATAGAAATCATATCTGGGAACCAGTACGTAAACAAAACAAAACAAAATATTTATGAATATTATACATCTCCCCAAGAGAGGAGTGGTTTGTGAAACCGCTTTATTTACAGTGCAACCTAGAGTGTTTCGTTTATGATGCTTTTACAACAATATTTCAAAAAAGGTTGACATATCATCCAAATAAAATTAAGGCTATTATCTTAGAGAGAACAAATAAAAAATAAGTCAATGGTAATAAATGTGCATGTAAAGTACGGAAAATTGAGAAAGAAACTTTCTCTTGAAATTCCATAATAGCAGGTGCACAACTTCAACATATAAACATATTTCAAATAATGATGACCTTAACCTCTCCTCTCTTGGCCTCAAAAAATCAATAGGCATCTTTTCCTCTCGTATATATTTTATCTGCATAAGTTTCATTCTGCATTCAAGCAAGGAGGAAACAAGTTATCACAAGGAAACCTTCGGACACACGGATTAACGACAGGACGGCGGGACAGAAAGACGGGCGGATGGACAATGCAATTACTACATAATCCCGACAAATATTTTGCTGAAGCATTTAAAAAACTCCGGAATTTGAATAAGCTCCCAAAGAAGAGAGACCCTAAGTGTCGACATGGTAAGCGTCTTCTGCTACACATTCATTTGCCGATATGCATATTTGCATTGACACCGGGAATAAGACACAATCAGTACATTTCCAGACACGAAGACTTTTCTGATATCTAAAGATCTAAGACAGCCAAAAAATGTGTCAAGTGAGTTTGGACAGAGACATATCGCATCGGTTAACTAATTCGTAATGGTGACCATAAAACATATGAAGTGTTGATCTTCCTCACTACTCTTTTTATTCTGGTATCAGAAGCACAAAGTTTAACGTTTTATCACGTTTAAGTCTATTTTCACAATACTGAGTTCATCGTTTCACGTCTTTCACTTGTAACATACCTATGCATTTTGTAAGGATAACTGGCCTTTTAGAATATATGTTTAACCCTTATTTCAAATAAAACATATGTTTTATCACCTTTACGAATAATACGAGTTTCTGTGTTTTTCAAATAACAAGTTGTACTCACCTTTTAGAATGACACATCTTTTCGTTTCCATATTCATACATTTTTTTAATTTCTGATAATATCTTTCGGTATAGATATAATTCTCTACTGAAACTAAATGCCATTCTTCAATATTGCTAGACACTGAAAAAAAAGTAAGTTAGTAAAAGCTCTTTTGTGGGAATACTGCTTCCCAATGAGAAACTGTGTCAAGCAACTGGACAATTAATAGACCACTTTCGAGTTATGTCCTTCACCGGAAAAGTTCGTCAATGTGGTGCGCCTTTATGACGTCATTTACCGGATTGAGGGGGTCGCCTGTATCCTTTCTCTGTAAAAGTTCATCAATCGTCTTTGTGATCGTTATTAAGCAGCATAAAATTGAAATAATATTTTTTCCGTAAGAACATAATCACAATTCCCTAATGACAGCAGTGCTGATTATCAGTTATAAGAATTTAATTTGCCGAATGATTCGTGCAATATACATGTAGCATTATATTTTTTTCAAAATGGAAGGAGGTGACGATGCCCCTAAACGCACAAATGATGTTCACTGAAACCAAAATTTTTAAGATGAAAATGCAACGAAATCGAAAGTTGTCTATTCAGTCTAACATGAGTACATACTTTGAAAAATGTTGAAATAATACCTTAAAATATGATACGTGTATGACATAGTATCAGTTTATTCAAATTTTGCACAAATCATCATGTTGTCAAAATATTTTTATTTGCCTTTTGATTTCTCAATCAAAAATAACCTTGTGTGTTTTAAGCAAGAATTTGTTTTCCGCGTTATGCTAATATGATTGAGAAATGGTTAAGACCTAACTGAAGCATAAAATAATATCAATAAATTTCCTGACATCGAATATTGCTTCTTGTTTAAGTCTACTTACTTTCACCAACTAAAGTTCTGCCTAGTACAATGGAATTGTTTACTATAGAATTATCACCTAAAAAATGACAATCAGCATATAAAAGTCATAGTTAACAATGGTTAATTTAGCATATGTTTAAGAGATATATTATATTTATCTTAATTAAATAAATTTATCATCGCTTATTTTAAAGAGAAGAAATATTTGCAAAAGTTTTTTTAATTTTTAGCTCATCACTTCGTCTCTAAAACTACTAAAAATGAGTCTACAAGCATTTTTTATGTCTGCAACCAAGATGACCATCATGGTTAGAAATAGAACAAAGGGGTAAAATGAAAGTTTTGTCTAATAGTTTGAAAACCGCTATAAGAAAAAATCTGACAGGCAGAAATGTTCAGAATGTTGGAATCTACCTATTGTGGGTGTGCGTCAAAACTATCAGACGACTTCTTATATGGGTTATTGCCCTTTAATGAGGATATTAACCATTTTTTTGCGTTTTTTTCTGATATCTTATAAAAATCTTTTCTTCTAAAATTACTGGGCGAAATATATTTAAACTTAGTCACAATTATAATTGGGGTATCTAGTTCGAAAAACGTGTCAAATGACCCGGCTTGCAAACCAGCATGGCCGACATGGTTTAAAATAGTTCCAAGGGGTAAAATGAAAGTCTTGAAACCGCTATGAATTAGAGAAATGAGGTAGAAATGTACAGAATGTTGAGATCTCTCTGCTGTACATTTGAGTTTAGTTTTAACATATTTAATTCGCTTAAATATACACAAGGGGGATGAATTAATTAAACTTATAAAGTGTTCTCTGTTATTTTGAAAACTATGATAGATAGAGAGATGCTTTAGTTAGAACGAAATTATCAGCCAGACACGATCTACAAAATAGTCAAATTTCTGAAATCGTTAGAGGACTCGTTATTAGAGTTATTGCTCTTTAATGTTGATTTCCACTAATTGTATGCGTTTTTGCATATTATCTTAAAAATCATAATAGATATATACATGTAGAAACTTTGAATATAAAAAATAATCAGGAAGACAAGATTTGCAAATAAGCCTTTATAGCTTAAATATCAAGTCCACACTTTAATGAAGTTATTGCCGCTACAAGATGATTTTTACCCTTTTTTTTTTAGTTTTTGCGTTTTATCTTGAAACTATAATAAATACAAATGTAGATATTTTAAAAATATAAAATGATCAGCAAGACAAGATCTACAAATATGTCAAGTGAAATTGATAGTTAACTCTATATAAAGTTATTGCCCTTTCGTGGTGATTTTTTAACACATAGTGGCCATTGTTGAGGATGCAGGTAAGCCACTCAGGGTCTCTAGAGTCTTTAGTTTTGATTACTATGGGGTTGTTATTTGTGACGTTTTTCAAAGAGGATTGTTGATTTTCCACCAATGTTATATGTAATAAAATGTTTAATTTTGAACCCTGATTTGGACCAACTTGAAAACTGGGCCAAAAATAAAAAATCTAAATTCATGTTTATTTATAAACAATATAAGCATAGATTTTAAAGTAGTTAGGAAAAAAAATCAAATAAATCCGTCACTCGAATTATAATTGTGTTATTGACAATTATCACATGTTATCTTGATAATAGGTGAAAATTATGCATGAATTGCATGAAAAATTAAAAGTAAATACATTGTACAAATGTGTATATTTAGTTAATTGTAAAAATCTATTATACAAATTGTGTGTAGTTTTAGAGGAAGAAAAATTAAATTTTCAATTTATTTTTGTTATGTGTAGGGAAATTTCCTTATAAACTTTCCTTCATTCTATTTTGTATTTAATTTCTATGATTAGGTTATAAAGATGTTAAATATTATTCAAAAATATATAATAATGAAGAGTAAATTTCAATCTATCTCTAGACATCATTTCTTCTCTAAAATTAGACATGATGCTGTATCTATTTTGAAATATTACTCAACTTGAAATTTCGACTAATTAGATTCTGATTAAATATTTGATAAAGCATAGTTTCTGACACAGAATGAATATGGTCCAAGTACTTGAATAATTTTAAATTGGACCATTACCAACATGACCAATTATTGTCCGATATCCACATTCTAAATGTATATGGTTGGAATCACCATATCAAAGAACCCCAAGAATTCAAAGTTGTATTTTGGACCCTTTGACCTTAATGTGGACCAATTTGAAGACCGGCCTCAAAATAAAAAAAAATCTAAATACGCAATTAGATTCAGCATATCGAGGAACACCAATAATTCAATTTTTAAAGAAATCAAACTAATTTTTATTTTGGACCCTTTGGACCTACATCTGGATCATTTCTAAACCAGACCCTAAAATCCAAATTTTAAATACCCAATCAGATTTAGCATATTAAAGACTGCCAAGAATTCAATACTTTTGAATTAAATCCCATTGAAATTGATAAAGAAATAAACAATGTATACAAAGTATTGCTTTTGGTCCCTTTTAACAAAACCGATAGGGTCTTAACCCCTAAAATAAATCTTAAACTATATTTTATGGTATAACACCTTGTGACACAATCAAATAGCAATAAATAGACTTATATTTATGTCCAGAAATAAGAAAATCCGAGTTTTTTTCCACTTTTTATCTCCTTATTATTAAACGATTTGGACCATGACCCCTAAAATCAATCCAATCTTTCCTGTTGAAGAATGGAACCTTGTAGTAAAATATCATAGAAATTCATATTCTAATACACAAATGTTTTGTCCTGAGACATGAAAAATGCTTTGTTTTGACCCCTTTTTGGCCCTTAATAACTAAACAGCTACAACAATAACCCCCAAAATAGATCCCAACCTTCCTATTGTGGTTTGAAGCCTTGTGCTTAAATTTAATAGAAATCTATACAGTTAAACTCAAGTTATTGTCTTTTGATAGACCAAGTCAGGGATATGGCAGTTGTTTAATATCAAATACTAGTAGTCCGTTTCTATGTATGTTGGCGTTTGTTTTTGTTGCACTTCAGTGTTTCTGTTGTTCCGTTGTTTTCCTCTTATATTTGATGTGTTTCCCTCAGTTTTAGTTTGAAACTCAAAATATTGCCTGCAATTCGGACCCTTTTCGACCCCTAATAATTAAACGGTATGGACCATGACCCTCAAAAATCAATCAGAACTTTTCGTTTGAAGTATAGAACCTTGTGGTAAAATTTCATAGAAATCTATACTCTTATACACCAATTGTTGTCCTGAAACATGAAAATTGTTAGTTTTTGGCCCTTTTTAGGCCTCTAATTACCAAACAGCTACGACAATAAACCCAAAAATAAATCCCAAACTTCCCATAGTAGTATGGAACCTTGTGCTAAAATTTATTAAAAAACATCTAGGACAATAACCCCAAAAATCAATCCCAACTCTCCTATTGTGGTATGAAAACTTGTGCTAAAATTTCTTACACATCCATACACTTAAAGTTATTGTCTGTGAACCAATTTATTTTCCATGAACCAGTAAAACTGATCTTTTTTGGCCCCTAATTACAAAACCGTCAAGACAATAGCCCCCAATAAGAATATCAACCATCCTTTAGTGGTATTGCACCTTGTGTTAAAATTTCATAGAGATCCATTAACTTATACTCCAAGTTATTGTCTGCGATCCAAAATGCCTTCAGACGCAAACGCAGACATCATAACCTAATACGATTGCAAATAAATTTGCGGTCGTATAAAAACAAATTCAACTGTTTATATAGATAGGAAGAAGGCTCACAGACAAACATGTCGACAAAACACTATATAGTAAACTAAAGATACGAATCCTACCAACAACTGGAGTTGATCTCAGGTGCTCTGAAAGGGTAAGCTGATCTTGCTCATCCTGTGTGAATATTCTATTGATTGGTTAGTGTTTGTTAGGAAATAAAGTGGCTAGTGTATGTATATATATACACAGGAGACATCAACTTTGTCAAATACAAGAACATTTCATTGTATTTAGGGGAGACTTGTTGAGTACTGTTCTTCATTCTTAAAGTTAATTAAGGAATTTATAATGATGATTTGAACACATACTTTATGATCAGATCATTTTAAGTTCATTAATAATTAGACTTTTAATATCTATGTGTTGTACGGGTATCTGATACCAAAGTAGTCATTTAAATGGAAACTTACTAGTTTCCCGTTTCTGAATTGAGTTGAGTCGCAGGTCTTCAATCTTATCAGATATACTGTGTAGGTTTTCTTCAAGCTGGTGTGTATCTCCCTTAGTTGCTGGGGAATCTATAAATAAAAGCCTGGATTTAATGTTGTAAATATTTGTGAAATGACCATATTCCTTTTTTTATTTAGTTTTCAGAATTACACATTTTGTATGTATTTCTAATGATCTAATCTTTGATAGCTTTAGACACTACAATTGTCATCAACTTTATAACACAAGAGTCATGATGTATTCGTGCATTTTTTTCTCCATAATTTTTTGAAGGTATTCTTGAGAATAAAACATTACAAATTTAAACTTTGAATGCGTTTATATGTTTTCTTAATATATATCACGAAAACTTGAGTGCTATGATGCATGTCTGTTACAATTGAATTAAAGAATCATTGTTTTTATATAGTTTATTGTGAAGTAACCTATCGTATAAAACCTACGAAATTAATTCATAGTCTTATCGTGAATGCTTAGATTAGTTTAACCACTGCAACAATATAATACAAATGCCACGTCTGAACATTTTGTAAAGAGGTACATGCATTATTTAAGTCTTTTAATGTGGCTTCGTCAGTGTGAAATAAAAAAAAAATAAAGCAACAGAGTCATTATTCTTTAGCTCTGCAGCTTCGTACTTGATTGGCCTTTTTTAACATATTTGATTGACTTATAAGTCTTGAGTAGACGAAACGCGCTTCTGGCACACACAAAAATGTGCCTGGTATGGCCTTAATGTTGAAAGCATCCAACGCCAACGAAGCAGACGTTGGCATGAGGATCACAATCTTTGGCTTCTGTTACTTTTACCTCCAGCGAGACAAAACTGAATATTAAAACTTCATCATAGACACTGATTTGTGATATTTGGTCATGTGATCTTCTTCATATGGGATATGTTATGTCTCTCCAAAATGCATCTACATATTTAATACACCTTATCGCTATTTGTCCACAATTACTGGACATCACAAAACTTCCCGTAAAATTTTGACGTCATAATAGAAAATATCTGACGCCACAATGGAAAAGTGATTGTTGTATGACGTCAAAAGTTCAAGCGGGACAGATTCTCGGGTCAAGCGGGACAGATATCCAAATAGCAATAAGGTGTATTGTCTTTGAGCTTCTCAAAAATGGATGAGTAATGCCTTGAATACTAATTTAGTCATATATTTTACCCACCTTCACGTCATTTTGAAAATTACTACCGTTTTTTTTTTTTGGTTAACACAACCATTTAACGCGGATATTATCGAAAGGTAAACGCCAGGCAAACGGTATTAAAGGGCCAAACTTATAAGTAGTAAATAAACTAACAACGCCATGTTTATTATGAACACACTTTTCATATCTACTCAGTATCCGATTCCAATCGGTACGGCAAGGCAAGGAAGAATAATCGTCTACTTTTAGACTTACTGAAGGTATGGGTATTAAATCTGGATTAAAATGTAATCTTCAGGAACTTTGAGAACATTTCTGATAGAAATCTTGGCCAATTATTTTAGTTAATGTAAGGCTATTTGATTGTTGTACAATTCAATGACGACATTATAAATGGTTTATTAAATAAAATTTGGTAACCTGTAAATTTTATATTAACATAACTTGACCATTGCCACTTACGGATGAGTCTGAGTCATCAAAGTGTTTAAAAGCCTAGAAGATAATGTTTTTTTTATACGCATATTACTTTAAATTCATACCTTGAAAATCTATATTTAATCACAAGGATTACAAATATGTAACTAAGGGTTGTTCTTGAGCATTTCCATTTCTGGAAAAATTGTGCATCTTTTTGTCTGTGGATTTTAATTTTTTCGCTTTGTAACAATTCTGAACTAAATTAATGTAAGAAGGAATCTGGAAGCTGTCCCTTTGATGTTCACCCTGTACATGCTATTATTCATTTATATCAACACTGCATGACAATGTAACAAAAAAGTTCAAACAATCGACCAATAATAGAAACTAGATGCATAATAGAGAAATTAGATAAAACAATAAAGATGTAACAAAAGAAAAGAACAACTTCGCCGTCAATTGGCTAATAAAAAGCGTATTTTCCCCGTTCCAGTGTACTTATTTTGCACAATCACTCATAACGTCTGAAACCTTGGTATTGCCTTCTTTAATATAATCCGTGGAAATATATGTCCCGGTAACGGCTTATAAGGATATATGGACGATCTTTTTTCTGTAATATTTCAACATCGACATCTTGGTTTAAAAAGACTAATAAAACTGAATGAGCATGTACCTGTGAAATTACATATAATTCTCGAATGCTTCGGAAGGATTACTTTTCAATCGTTAGAAAGCCCAATTTATCCAAACCATTAGAAATTAAAAGAAAGGTCTGCCAATCTCGACATAATAGTATTCGAATTAAAATGTTTGCCATCTGCTGTGGACCGTGAAATACCGCGAAAAATTAGATAACCGGAAAAATTACCGGTTATAAGGTATTAAGTTCTGAACACTAAATTTAGTAAAACTTGGATCTGCGTTATATAAATGCATAAAGAAAAATAGAAAATCGGGAAAGGTAATAGCAGAGTTTGCCAGAAGGGCTAAACGCGAGAGAAAAAATAACAGAAAAAATAAGTTAGCATTTAGTAACTAATATCATACCAATATAAGATGTTAACATTTGAGATCTCCATTCGTCAAAGTCTTTATACTGCTGCACATTCCCATGATCATCAACGTAATAAGATTCAGGGACTGCAGTGAATACTCCACCAGGTATTCTACTCACTTTTACTGCTATTATTTTCCTGTTTTGCTTATACGAAGATACAGGCAATAAGAAAAACAAATAAGTAACAAATATTACTCTTATTGACATATATAAAATTAACTACACATGAGACAATACTTTATGCAATTTTTGGTCAATAGTAATAATAAATTTACAGGACATGCAAAAATGTTTTATTTCTTTTATCAATCGATTCAAATACATCTTTAAAGAAAGGACAAATTATATCAAATCAAATACATGTAGTTGACTTATCTACTTTGTTGACTTTTTTCTCACTCATCATTGATATGTTCATTTGTTGGTATATTAAAGGATGTTCGCTCCTCTTGTTTTTGAATTTTTACCATATATTCGTAATCCTCTGGTTTAATCCATGTTTTTCCATTAAGAAATTTTGTCCACTAACCCCTACTTTTCTTTTCATAATTTTATTACATATAGTTCAAAAAGCCATATTTGAAAATCTTATAAAATCATTGTTATTTTTTCATCGTTTTTGAAAGAAAACAGGTGGTAACGTTAAATGTACGAAAAATCTAGAGAGAATTATTTCCCGCCAAATTTTCAACGGCTTATATCTCGAAAACAAGCACACTGCAGACCCTTCATTTATTTCTGCTTTTTTAGTTTCTTTATTTATATACTATCAACTTATAACAGTCCTTTAAAAAGATTGCTATTTTGAAACTGAGTGGCGAACATCCTTAATCAAGTTAGTCTCTTCGCATAGATAGCCTTGGCCGTATTTGGCACAGTTTTTCTGATTTTTAAAACAAATTCCGATGCTCGTCAACTTTCTATTTTTAATTCGCACGCATCTGGCGTTCCATATGTTAAGTCTGGCTTAACTGATACGGTTTATAACTACTGGGTCGATGTCAGTGCTGGTGGACATTCCGTTGTTTCTGAGGGGAATCACCAGCCCATCAGTCAGCACTTTTGTGTTTACATGACATAACTTAGATATGGTAATATTCTGTTAATTTACAGTTTTTGAATTTTTGATTTTTTTGAATCACTTAGGGTTTTCTACCCTTAGATGTAGATGGCTCTAGCGTATTTGGCACAACTTTTCGTGATGTTTGGTTTTCAATGCTCTGCATGTCTTCCTGTGGACTGTTACCTTGTGAACTAGCACGTTTAAAATCCGGTCCAAATTGTCATTCTAGTACAAACAGGGTTAAAATTCATAATACATTAATACGTTCTCGTTGAATATGCCCGTGTTGAAGACCGTACTTTGACCTATATTAGTTTACTTTTATGAATGGAGAGTTGTCTCATTGGCACTCATGCCACATCCTCTTATATCTATCTACAACTTTGTTTTTGGTTTTGTCCTCTGTTAAGTTTAATGTAGATGAAGCGCAAGTCGGCGTATTCATTCATTAATTTTCCTGGTGTGTTCGATTAGATTTTTTTTCTAGTTCTTCAATATCAATATGTTTTACTTCAAAAGATGGCCTTGCATTTAGATAATAATTGAACCTAAAATTCTTACCATAATAGTGCTCTCTTCTCCATCTTCCTGTAAAAGTTAAAATTTAAATGAATTTATCTTGCAAGAATCTACAGTTAAACAATTTTATGTTCAAAAGCACTTACATATATGTGTTTTTGTATGTTCTACAAACTGTTTTTAAAATAAATATATATATGTACATGTATGCTTAGATAAATTATAACAATTATTGTTTCTTAACCTGAATGACCTTTATTATGTTTTTATGTTGTGTATAAATTAGTTAATTATAAGACAAGACAATTAAAATAAACGTAAGCTCAAAGGATGAATAGAAAAGATCATACCTCAATTTCAAAATATTGAATATCCCAATGTGTTTTTCTTGTTAGTTTTGTGGTAGATTTTCCGCAAATCATTCCTCCAATTTTTGTTTCAAGTGCTTCTTCTGAAAGTGGCAAAAAATGAATGACGATATGATTAACCTTATGTTATTCATACAGAACATTTAGTTATCTTTTTTTTAAACATACACCATCTGTAAATATAATTTCCTCTACTCGGTGGTCACATGGTAGCGAACCGTGTTGTCCTCGAGTGAGGGAGGTCGTGGGTTCGGACCTGGGCCAGCTCAAACCAAAGATATCGAAATTGAAATTAGTTGCGTGCGAGCTAAGCACGCGGCTTAAGGAGCAACAGCAAAAACAGGTTGAAAAAACCATATTTGTATGCAAAACAAGTTGTTTGTAGCTTTGTTATACTATTGTTTCAGAAAAGGGAGAAGGTTTGGTACCATTAAAACGTTTAATCCCACTGCAAATGTTTGCACCTGTCCTAAGTCAGGAATCTGATTACAGTAGTTGTCGTCTGTTTATGTAGTTCATACGTGTTCCTCGTTTCTCGTTTTTATATAGATTAGACCGTTGCTTTTCCCGTTTGAATGGTTTTACACTAGTAATTTTTTGGGGCCCTTTATAGCTTGCTCTTCGGTGTGAGCCAATGCTCCGTGTTGAAGGCCGTACCTTGACCTATTATCTATTGTAACCTCTTGTAAAAGTAAGACGAAATCTGTTTCAAATTAGACAAAAAGGTGTAATTAACAAATCTAACATAAAAATCCTATCCAAAATTTCTATAAGATATGATGTATAAAAACTTAAGTAAAATGATGGTCTTTTTTTTACTAAAGAACACTTGAAAATAATTAGTTGATGCATCTAAAATGGCTAAGTCCTTTGCGAATTAAATAAATTCGGTAGACATTTTTATTAAAGATCCTACATGTACGTAACAAACAAAATTAATCAAGTTAGAAAGAAAATGCACTATAGCAAAGAATTGTCATCCATTTATATAAAGGAGAGAAAAAAGGTTAAACCAAAAGTGTATCTAAAAGTACTTACCAATATCTTCAGGTTTACACTTTGATAAGTCAATGCCAAAAACTTTTCCATTTGTGTCTTCAATACCATAATAAACAACACCCCCTTTGTAATTTCCAAATGCGGAAATGTAATGGGAACACATATTTGCTAACGTATTTGGAACATCCTTTCCGGTTATCTGCTTAAATTGAGTGTCTATATTTTCGTTTCTTAAGCCTCTTACTTCATGATTTAGTTTGTATGTTCGATTTTGTATAATTGGTAATGGACCAGGTGGTCCTTCTTGTCTTAAAATTTCCACGGCTTTGGTATATTTTGCTTGATCAGCAGATGACACTGCTGGAAAATATGAATACATATCAAGTGTACATAAATTGGGTGCAGGTTTAACAGAGAGCTCTAACACTTCTGATTCACAATCTCCTTTCAGTTGAACATAATCAGTTATGTGGCTGAAAAAGACTTCTTTCATTTTCTTCTCCACTCTGTCATACCAATCATCAAGATCCTTCGATTTGGCTGTTTTGCAATGTTTATTTCGTAATTTCAATGTTCTTGTTTGACTGTCCCTTATGTTAAGGCAAGCACAAACTAATTTCACAATTGTTTTGTCAATCTGTTTGTCTTTAAGTCTTACCAATACTTCATTGTTGACATTGATATCCTTTTCTAAAATAAGAACAAAATCTTAATTTCCTTTATGTCTCCGTGGGTACAAATACATATACCTTTATCTATTAAAAACCACATATTTCTTTGTTTTTAATTGTTTTCGTTTGATTTGATACCAGGCCAAAGTTATAGTTCCTTGTTTTGTGTTCACTTGCTGGTGGCATCACTGGCATATAAAAACTACAACGTCCAGCCATACATGTCGTACATAGGTTTGTATTATGCAAATACACTCAAACCCTGTTTCCATTCTGAAAATTGACATGAGGGTTTTTTAATTCAATGTGGTTTTCGAAACGAAGCAAGTGACTGTCTTCTTACTTGTTACAAAATGTACGAACACATACGTAATTTCGTTTAACACAGTCTTTAGTTTCAAATGTGGTGTTTTGAATATCGTCGTTTTTGCTATGGTGTTGTCAGTTTTGTCGACTTATGAGATTGAATATCCCTTTTGGTATCTTTCTCCTCTATATGATTTTGTTAAATCACAATAATAAATTCATAAAAATTACCTCGTTGTTGGCTTGTGACAAATTGACTTCCTGATGAATCCCTAAAATCAAGAATATATGTTTCAAAAAGTTATGACTGAATTATAATCAATTGACTTGCTTTTAAAAGTTAAACGAAATGAAGATATAACTGTGTTTGTTAAAGTGCCGTATTTGATAATCACTGTACATATGGCGTTCAGTTAAATTCAATGTGGATCGTCGATCAGATCAAAGCACTCTCAAAATCTGTGTTCCACGGAATAAAGAAATATAAATTAAATAGCGCTTAGGTTGTTCAGACACCATGGACACGGGTAACAGGTTTTTACACTGACACCTATAAGAAGATTAAATTTTAAGTAGTCATGAAGGAATGAAGTGGAATATACTCCAACCAATGATCAGAATATATACATACTACCTGTAAGTGTTTTTTGTCGTGATGAGAAGACCAATGTATTACAAAAGTGTCAAGGAGGGGTCAGATTGGTCCCAATTTAGCAAATTGAATGAGAGAACTTCATAAAAACTGGTAGTTTGATAAAAACCTTTTGAAACTTGTAATTAATTTGAGGAAGTATCTTCTGATCACCAAACTCAAAGTACTTCTAGTTTCATCGGAGGTCAATAGGTGTTGGTTTTGCCAGTAAACAATTAGGGCTCCTGTTATTTACCACACTTGTCTTTTATTTGTCATTGGGTGTCTATCGCAATGATGTATACCTACTATCCTTTTATTTATAACACTTAACTAAGGAGCTATTACTGACTTTTACAGATTTCACTTATGTTGTGCTATTAGACAAGTGTCTCAGGTTATGGTTAGGGTTGACAGCTCACAGACATATTTAACTCCACCACATTCTTTATGTGCCTGTCCCAAGTCAGGAGCCTGTAGTTCAGTGGTTGTCGTTGGTTCATGAACTCTAACTTGGTAGATTGCCACACTCATCCAAGGAACTTAAAACATGTAAATCGGTTTTAAAAAAAGATTTAGTTTTTTTCCAAATAGTCACGTGGTTTTACATCATCAAGTAATGTGAAAAACACGCCAATTACTGGAACAAACACATCATGTGGTGTCAAATCGTCAAATAAATTTCCTAACCTTTGTATTATTTTTGATTCGAATGTCATATACTAGCATGAGTGCTGAAACGCACGCCTGGCGTACACAATTTCATTCCTGTATCTATTAGTTTATTTATATTTAAATTAGAAGAAAAATCTAATATTCACAGATCAAAAACATAAACAATAATTTGGCTGCTTTTATTAAAATATATATATTATATGTTGAATGGAAACAAAATGTTAAATACTTTTTGTTAAATAAAATTTCAAGAAGTAGATGTTTCATTTGATCACATACTTAATTGTTATATGTACAATACTTGTATTGGAAAGATGACATTGTCCAATGTTAACTAGTTAATACGATTATGTTATGAATATAGATGTCCTAAGGCAGGAGCCTGTAGTTCAGGCATGTGGTTGTCGTTGGTTTATGTGTGTCTTGTTTGTTTTTTTTTCTTAGAAATTAGGCCGTTAGCCGTTCTCGTTCAAATTGTTTCACATTTTCACGTGGTGGCCTTTTATAGCAGACTATAAGATGTTTTGAAGGCCGAACGGTTGCATATTGTTGCTAACATCCACTGAATTCAAACTAAAGTGGATAGTTTTCTCATTTGCAATCACACCACATCTCCCAACTTTATTTAGATTTCTATATTGTGTTTTGTATCCTTTGATATTGTTTATCATTTGTACGCTTTTCCCTCAACCATCTTTTCGGAAGCCCGAACAAGAGCCCTCGAGACGCGATTGAAAATTTATATACAAAGTCGTATAATAAAACTCGAATTTCAACTCCACCTCACAAGGTAATCGAGTCAAATTCGAAGTTGAAGTCGAATTTTTAACTCGAACTCTACCTTTAAATGTGACTCAAACTGGGTGTTCAACTCGAAACTCAATGAAAACTCGAATTTTAATTCTAATTATGGCTTGAATTCTATCTCGATATCGAAGACATACTCAAAGTTTAACTCGCACAGTAACCCTAACTTTTATTTGAAGTCTAACTCGATGGATTGCCACCATCAACCGAGGCACATTAAACATGGAAATCGGTTTAAAAAATAGATCTATTTTTTCCAAATGGTCACTTAGTTTTAACTTATCAAGCAATGTGAAAACCACATCAAAGAATGACAGAACCATATCAGTTCTTTGAACAAACACATCATGTGGTGTCAAATCGTCCAATTTTGAAATATTATTATGTAACATGTAATTTTAAAGCCATATAAAGAATTGGTAAATCATCATTACGAAATAACAAAACCATAAAATGTAATGAAACAACTACATTTTTGTACATTACGTTTAGTTACATACACATCAAGTAATGTTAAAACCATATTAAGTAATGACAAACTATATCATTGAGGCAATACGAAACAATATCATGCAATATCGAAATATCATTAGGTAATGACTGTTCCATTTTTAGTTAAATCAAAACATGATTACGTAATGTCAAAAAAATATTGTGTAAAGACAAAATATGACTTATAATGAATAAAACAAAAAATCGTAATATGAGAGTACCACACAAGACAGCTGTGGCGTTCCATACTTTGAATTTACCTTTGCTTTAATTTCTCATTCTTTCGAAGTTCATGTTCTTCTGTTGAAGGATTAACAGATTTACTGATTTTAACATCTGAAAATACATGTGTCATTTGAGAACCTCTTACAAGCAATATACATCTTCATCATATACTTAGAGTAAATAACTTATAATTTTTACAGTATAATAGTATTAAATTCCATATTTCTGAAATGGTGTTTAGAGGGCTGATACGAAAAATGTATCACATGCCTCCAGCTATTATCACATGCCTTTCCGTAACGTTATCGCATGGCATTCCGGCGCTACCCGGCAAATTACGGAACATACACCTCAATGGTACGTCTTCAATGAAAACATAACAAAGAAGGTTACAAAACAATTATTAGAAAACAGAAAAATATATTATTTAAAATGCAAAAAAGCCAAATGATAAAATAATTGCACTTTTTTCAAAGTTTCCAGCTTAATTTAGAAAGTAACTTTACAAATTATATTGACCTTTCCAAACAGTGTTCATTATGTTTTGTTAATTTTTTTATCGTCAATATGAAAATATATAATACTGTTGTTTTTTCCATCTGTTGAGGCATATGATAGAAAGATTTCATAACGGATGAAATTTTTGTCCAGCGTTCGTAAACATTTCACTTTTTGAACTTCTACATGAGAACCACTTAAACGGATAGATATATTAAACTGTTATTTTTCTCCATTGTTGAAGCATATGATAAAAAGATTATAACATGTCATTTTTCATATCAGATGTATTATCAGCCCTCTGTCAATATCAGCCCTCGAGTTTTTGAGCCAAAGATTCAATATCAGCCCAAGAGTCGATGACTCGAGGGCTGATATTGACAGAGGGCTGATAATACATCTGATATTAAAAATGCCATGTAATATTCAGATATTAGTAAATACGGTATTTCTATATTTAGAAAACAAAATAACAGACAAAATGGTAAAACATTCTTGTCACTTGGTGTTTGGTGAAAGTTGTCTCAACAGTAATATCGCATATTCTTACGTTCATAGTTATCACAATATTTGTTTCACAGATGATAGTGGATTTGATCCTATTGTCTTAACTACAATCCCATCCCCTTTTGAATGTGACATACCGAGTTACACTTGTTACCGGGTTTTTACTAACATGAACAACACGACGGGCGCCACGTGTGTAGCAGGATCTGCTTACCCTTCCGGAGCACATGAGATCACCCCAAGTTTTATTGTGGGGTTCGTGTTGCTTAGTCTTTATTTTTCTATGTTGTGTTTTGTATACTATTGTTTGTCTATTTGTTTTTTTTTATCTCTTTAAGTCATGACGTTGTCAGTTTATTTCCGATTTATAAGTTTAAATGTCCCTCTATTTCTTTCGCCGCTCTTGTTTAAGTGTAACTTTGGGCCTGTGGGGCCATTCGTCAACAGGATAAGTTCTGTCAAAACTACAACAAATTCGAGTGAAAAATGCTAAAATTGATTTCCATTTCATAATTTATTAGCATGATTAGCTAGCCTTTGTATTATGTTGATTCGAGCGTCACATATGATTGTTGAAACGAACGCGCATCTGGCGTACAAAATTCATTTCTGTATATATTATGACTTTATTTATATTTAAATAAGAAAAAAATAAATTCACAGATCAAAAACCAATACAGTAATGTGGCTGCTTAAAGCAAACCAATTACAGGGTAACGTATTGTTAACTAGAACAGCTGTACACCAAATATTATATATTGAATGGAAACAAAATGATAAATACTTTTTGTTAAATAAAATTTCAAGAAGTAGATGTTTCATTTGATCACATGCTTAATTGTTATATGTACAATACTTGTATTGGAAAGATGACAGTGTCCAATGTCAACAAATTATTACGCATATATTATGGATATATATGTTAACAAAACGCGCGACTGGCGTACAAACTTTTGATCCTGGTACATGTATCTATGATGTGTTTCTTCATGTATGTATTTATCAATAAAAATGCTTCGCTGAGCGCAGCTGGATACGACCGCAGAGGTCCAACCCTGAACAGTTGTGGCAAAAATGGACACAACATTCGCGCTTGATACCGGTCTGAAATTGGATTGTAATTAAATAATTGACACATAATAGGTTTCTGACACCGAATAACTGTAGTCAAAGAACTTAGAATTGGTTATATGATTTGAATTTATATTCAATTTTTAGCTTATGTGCAATACACAAGGCTGTTGCGTATTGACCCCCCCCCCCCCCAAAAAAAATGTTTACCCCCCCCCCCCCCCATTTTTTTTGCAAAAAGAAATAATAATTGAAGAAATTTTCTTTTTAATTTCTGAAATCTGAAATAAAAAAAAAAAGCCCCCACAATTTCTTTTTTACCCACCTCCCACCTTAATTTATTTTTCACCCCTACCTTCCCTTTTCCAAAAAAAATTCTTTCCCTCAAGATATGGTCATAATCTCAATTCAAATTTCCAATGGAGTTTGCAACCATAATTACCAATTTAAATACATCATAAAAGTCTTAAAATAGAAAATAGATCCCCCCCAATTTTTTGAACCCCCTTATGATTCATCACCCCCAAACTCAATCCCAGCCTTCCCTTTGTGGTATTGTACCTTGCAGTACAATTTCAGAGAGATCCATACACTTGAACACAAGGTATTGTCTGGAAACTAGAAAAATGCTTGTTTTTTTGCCCCTTTTTTGCCCCTAATTCCTAAAATTTTGAGGCAATTACCCCCAAAATCTATCCCAGCCTTCCCTTTTTGGTATGGTACCTTGCAGTACAATTTCAGAGAGATCCATACACTTGAACACAAATTATTGTCTGGAAACTAGAAAAATGCTTATTTTGGCCCCTTTTGGCCCCTTATTCCTAAACGTTAAGGGCAATTACCCCCGAACTCAATTCCAGCTTTCCCTTTGTGATATGGAATCTTGTAGTACAATTTTAGAAATTTCCATACACTTACACACAAGTTATTGTCATGAAACTAGAAAAATGTTTGTTTTTGCCCCTTTTTTGGCCCTAATTCCTAAAATATTGAGGCAATTACCCCCAAAATCAATCCCAGCATTTCCTTTGTGATATGAAACCTTGTAGTACAATGTCAGAGAGATTCATACACTAACACACAAGTTATTGTCTGGAAGTTACAAAAATGCTTATTTTTTCCCACTTTTGGCCCCTAATTCCTTAACTGTTGGTACCATAACCCCCAAAATCAATCCCAACCTTCCTTTTGGGGTATTGAACCTTATGGTAAAATTTCATAGAGATCCATTCACTTAAACTAAAGTTATTGTGCGAAAACCAATGTGTCTTCGGACGACGACGACGACGACGCCAACGTCATACCAATATACGGTCGTATAAAAAAAGGTAAATAAGTGTTGTAATAAGAAAAATGTAAATATTTTTTGTTTGTTATACATTTGTAATATACCTTTCGCTAAGTTGTTTTTCACTGAGGAGTCTTTAGGCCTCTGTAGTTTATTAGGAAGGTCCTTAGGTCTTGCTCCTTGAAGTTTATATTGCTGATGGTTTGAAATGTTAGACATGCTATATGCTTGAGTATGACCAGGAGCTTCAGAATTCACGGGAATTCTAACTTCTGTTCCCGGGTCACCAAAAGGAGTTGCTAATTGATCATGATGTCGTAGATTTAAATGTGGAGTAAAATTGTTTTCATTACTGTTTGGTGTTTGAAATACTAAGGGATCTGCATCATTGGAAGCCTTGTCTCTGTTGGAGTTATTTGTATTTTGATCTACTTCAGCATGTTCAGACTCCATTGTCCGTTGATTCTTAATCGTGTAAGAATTGGAACTACTTGTACATTTGTGTATATGTAGTACTGATAACGCTCAAACCCTCACACTATAATCTGCTGTCAAAATTATTTCACCTAAACAAAACAAAAATAATTGAACATGAAAAAATTAGCTTACTACAACACTGTATGTGTCTCTGATTATTATTACTTGGCAACCAAGATCTGACCTTTATTCTGGTAACCAATCTTACCATGCTGAATAGAAATACATCATTCAAATATTCGTTCCTGTCCTAAGTCAAGAACCTGTTGTTCAGTGGTTGTCGTTTGTTGCTTAGACTGTTGGTTGTCCTGTTTGAATTGTTTTACATTATAGTCATTTTGGGGCCCCTTATAGCTTGCTGTTTTGCGTATGCCAAGGCACCGTGTTGAAGTCAGTACTTGCAACTATAATTGTTTACTTTTTAAACATTGTGACTTGGATGGAGAGTTGTCTCATTAGCACTCATACCACATCTTCGTATTTCTATCCATAAGACACACATGGTTCATTGAATTAGCTTTTTTCAACCTTTAACTTAAAGGTAATTGTTTTGAAATTTAAATACTTTTTTCATATGTTGATTAAAATCCAGATATTTCACACGTTCAAATGGACATTTAAATATTGAATATACATGCATAGTTTACCATTTCAACAATCAACTTATTTACTATTTGCTTATATTTTTAGCACAGAATTGAGCAGTATGTTTTTACTTTTAATCAAAAGTGTTTTCTTTTTTTACTTTAAGTATATTTTTTAAACTAAAAGACCAAGGAATTCCAAATTTTCTATAACCTAGTGAACGGGCATAATGATTTACACTTTTGCTTGCAGCAATGCAGACATCAAAGAAAAAAATGTTTTCAATCAATTCTGTAAACCATGGGTTATCATTTGCTTTTTTATTACCTTAATGACCTCAATTATCAAATATAAAAAAAAAATGAAACGTTTGAAATATCCAATTGTGACACCCTCCCCCGAAACATTTCTGAATCCGCCCTTATTCAATCTTATTAAAATATCAAACTATGATTTCGTAATCAGTCCGCGTCTATAAGTATCACGAAATTAGATTACTTTATTTTAGTTAGGTTGGCCCCTATTTTGTAAGTGTGTGGGAATTGTATGTATATATCTACAAACAAGAATTACCAGAAGTAGCACTTAATTAACATACTATATAACAAATATTAATTTTTCAGTCAACCCCACGCGGAAGTAGTCAAGAAGACATAATTATTTGTTCAGGGGTTGACAGGATACACGTAATCGTTATAAATTTTAACTTCACGGTTCTTATGCAAGCAATAATAAACAATGATTTTATACGTTGTTCTTTTTTGTTTGTTTTCACCTTACATAGGGCTTTATTTCTGATCTTATTTCTGTGTACACAATTCTGAATCTACATATTTCACCTTTATCCGTTTGGACGATTCCATTGTAAATGATGAATGGGCATTCTCTTTGATATTTACTTGAAAGTTACATTTGCCTTTCACTGATTGCTCGTTATTGTTAAATTATTCTTAATTCAAAGACAAAAGTAACCGATCCGGTAAGTGCTAAACAAATTGCTGTTAATTGAAATCCTTCAATTGTTATGATATATCGCATTATGATACAATTAACAGGTTTCTTTTCAATTGTTATGCAAATAACTAAGCTTACAAGAATACAGTTATTCTCCAATAGTACGAAAATTATATTTAGAATTATAATTTCAGAAAGTGAAACATCATTTAATTTCAATAATGATAATTAAATAAATTTTCGTTTTTTTTTGTATTCTGTGTAGATTAGTTTTCATTTAAGTGGGGCGAGTTGGCAGACATGAAAATTATATATTCATCTAGATATTACCGTTTTTCATTAAGTGCCAACTCGGCAGGAGTAATATTAATGGGATTTAACCCTTTTCACAAGTGGGGCGATGTTTTAAAAATTGGGGCGAGTTGGTAAACTAGTTTGGGGCGATTTTTTTAAAAGTGGGGCGAGTTGGTAAACTAGTTTGGGGCGATTTTTTTAAAAGTGGGGCGAGTTGGTGAAAAAGTGGGGCGATTATGTGTGGCGCGATTTTCCAGTGGGGCGATTTGACCTGCTTCCGTATTAAGGGTTGTCTGCGAGAAATAAAAAATCATTTTTCTGATAGATTAACTAAATTCAAAACCAATATAAATATAGTTAACATATATATTCTATTCAACTAAGTAAATTGATCGGAATGTGAATGATACATAAACCTAAAATTCTTTTCGGTCTATCCCAGTCATGACATGATCATGACATTTGCGCGGGAATTTCTTCCATTGACATCATAATATAATTTACTTTGGATTATTGTTATCTTTAGATGTAATGTGATAGGATTTTATGTGATCTTATTTGTCTTTTTTTTCTATAGTACATAGTTTGACGTCAGGTTTGTACACATGAAGTCTCTAGTATAGTCAGATCTGAAGTATAGATGTACTCATTCTCAATTTTATTCTGCATATCCCACCCCTTCCCTACGTCACCCTGCTCAGTCGCTCCGTAACTCTCGTATCACGGCTTTGAGACGAAAGCAGGCATTATCAGCAACGTCATAACTCGCGTCATAATGTCTGAGGAGATGTAATCAGCGACGTCACAATGTGTGAGGAGTCGTCATCAAGCCTGCTTTCGTCTAGCGTAAAACTGTCTAAGGCCAAGTTATGGAGGTGAAAAAGCCAGTAATAGAACGATAAACAGATAATCAGGTTTTCTTCGTATAGATACCTGAAAATATCACCCACTGACAGTGATTTTCCCATTCAGTGTTTAGAGGAAGGGGCACAGGGCCCATACAATTGGGAATAAAAGTTCGTGAAATGTTGGATTTTGGGAAAATACATTAGTTCATTTACAATTTGATTCATTTTAGCTCATTAGCTGCACTCACTCGCCAAAAAGGTTCACTGCGGCTCACTGGCTAATATTTTACGATATCAATGTGTAGAAAAGCCGATAATATTAGATATAAGAAGATGTGGTATGAGTGCCAATGAGACAACTCTCCATCCAAGTCAAAATTTATAAAAGTAAACCTTTATAGGTCAAAGTACGGTCTTCAACACGGAGCTTTGGCTCACACCCAACAGTAAGCTATAAAGGGCCCCAAAAATTACTAGTGTAAAACCATTCAAACGGGAAAACCAACGGTCTAATCTATATAAAAAACAAGAAACGAGAAACACTTACATATGTGTGAGGAGTCGTTATCATGCTTGCTTTCGTCTAGCGTTAAAACTGTCTTAGGCCAAGTTAGGGAGGCGAAAAAGCCAGTAATAGAACGATACACAGATAACCAGTTTTTCTTCGTATAGATACCTTAAACATCACCCACTGAGGACACAATTTGATTCATTTTAGCTCATTAGCAGCGCTCGCTCGCCAAAAAGGTTCATTACGCCTCACTGGCTAATATTTTACGATATCAATGTGTAGAAAAGCCGATAATCTATACATATATGGCCAGATCATATGTTTTCGTACGTCATATGAATATTCGTACTATGCATGCTTTTTCAATGGATATTGTGACGCCACAATGCAATCTTAATAGCACAAAAACCCATGAGAAGAGGATATATATACATATGTCAACCAAAATTTTTCAGCGACGTCATAATGTGTGAGGAGACCCTTTCAAGCTTCCGTTCATCTAGAGTTAAAACTGCTTTAGGGAGGAGAAAAATACCAGCAATAGTACGATAAAAAGATAATCGATATCGTAAAATATCAATGTGCAGAAAAGCCAACGATCTACATGTATAAATATATATGTCAACCAAAAAATACAACTGATTTACACTACAACTGTTGAAAAGACCTTTATGTATATATATCTAATCTCATTCTTGTCCGTTCAACTGACAGAATCGGTGTACATTTCATGAACTCTTAACAAGAATCGTCATGGACTATTCTTTATACCAATATCTGTTAGCCATTTAGGGGTCGTTTGCATTCAAAGTTGAGTTATAGTGGGTTTATTTTGAGAAAAAGAACTCAATTTCCTGATAAACTTTCTTAATAGTACAGAAACATTATATATCATTCAAAGTCGAGATATAAATGTATGTTACTTAGTGGGTTTATTTTGTGAAAAAGAACTCAATTTCCTGATAGTTAATGTTTCTTTATATTTTGCTGTGTCAAAATGACCTAAATATAAAGACAGTATATAGTCCTAAAAATGGTATATCACGTTCTACACATGACATTTTAGCAGGAAAGACTGCCATTGGAGTATATCACTACTGCTACTTTTTAATTTGGCCTCATCCACTAAAGTCATTCAAGTAGAACGTTTGATGTCGGGATTGTCCACATTTTGGAATATATTAATGTATAGAAATACTGTTGAGTCTGTTCCCAAATGCCTCCACAATTTGGAATATATTAATACATGTATTGATGTACTGTTGAGGCTGTTCCCAGATGCCTGAGATAGACTTCAATATTTATCATTTATTGAAAATAAGTGGAATCATCTTTTAGAAAAGTTGTTCCTATGGTAATGAATTCCCCTCCCTTTTTATAAGTTAAAAAGATTACATCTTTTTTTCCTTTTTTTAAACTGCAAAATATCCCTCATTTTTGGGGGGGGGAGATGTTCCCAACCTGTTTTCAAAAAGAAGGGGGTGGGGGTTACCCCAGGGGACTTCCCCTCAATTTCATTTGATTTGTTTTATTGTCCCATTCAAGAATATATATGGTTTAGGGGTGGGAATTTCGACCGTTTACAAGTTATCAAAAATAAGTGGGGTGGGGGTTACCCCCATGGGCTTCCCCTTAATTTCATTTGATTTGTTTTATTGTCCAATACAAGAATATATATGGTTTAGGGGTGGGGATCTCGACTGTTTACAAGTTCTCAAACAGGAGGGGGTGGGGGGACCCCAGGGGACTCGCCTTTTAGTTCATTTGATTTGTTTTATTGTCCCATACAAAAAAAATATATGGTTTCGGGGTGGGGATCTCGACCGTTTACAAGTTCTTAAACAGGAGGAGGGAGGGGTGACCCAAGGGGACTCGCCTAATATTTCATTTGATTTGT